TTATCACGAGAGAAACTAACACTTAGACCTTGGTCACAAAGTTGACTCGCATTCAGTAGGTTTGCCTTCAAGTCATTCACAAGTAAAACATCATCTAGTCTAGGCAACCCATCCAAACTTAAACAACCAGATCCAATCACTTTATTGCTCACACCATCACCAAATGTGACTTCCCCATTCGAACCAGTTTTTACATCCGTCAAATAAGCTAATTCACCAGTCATGTGTCTTGAACACCCACTATCAAGATACCATTTTCCCTCAAGTGAGGTTCTGAGAGACAGTACTGACGTAAGGCATTTAAAAGAGTTTTTTGCAACCCAGACTTGTCGATTTTTAAGAAATTTTCTATGGGTATTTACAACACGAACGTTCACTGGTACACCGGAATGACTCCAGTGAAACACTTTACCTGAGTAGAGGTCATGATGCATCTTGTAGAATTTAGGTCTGATGTGGCTAGTTATTCCACAGTAATGAAAAATGGGTATAAAGTTATGAGATGATTTACTCACAGATACCTGAGCTGGTGTATGAACCTTCAGAGGGTGTTTAGGTGATGAGGGTTTACTTATAGTGCTTTTTACAAACCTACCGTACACGTTCCGAGAAGGTTTTCCATGAAGACTTGTACCTCCAATGCCAGATTATCTGAGAATCTAAGACTAGGATGTTTGATTTTGGTTGAAGCTTCAGCAAAACTTTCAGAACTTTCAACCTTGCCAGTGTTCCCCAGCCTAGTGAGATCACCATACTGCCTTCCCATGGATAGGAGCTCATTTAAGTCAGCTTTCTCTTTGTTCAGTTTCCTTACAGCGTCAGTAGTGCGTTGCAACTCAGCCGAGTTCACACTTAGCTCGTTCTGCATACTTGCATGTTCGTACGTGATTCGGCTAATATCATTTCTGAGCTTCAAGATTTCCTTGTTTCTCTCAGTAAGAACTTTTTGAGTTGAGAACAGTTCAGACCTCAGACATTCAATGGTCTGTGACTTCTCCAATCAATCTTGTTTAGAGGGTTTGACGCTACGAGCCATAGCCGTATCTAGTTCATTCTCTTTCTGATATATGCGAGAGGGGGAGGCCTGTTCAACCAATATCTGTTTGCCTTTGTTAGTTTCTGAACCTCACTCTGGAGTTTCTTCATAGCCTCAGATGCTTGTGCACATTTGTCCACAGCTAACAAGTGAACTGGATCAATACATATGTTGCAATTGGCTTCATCCTCTGATGTTTCAGATTCTTCCATGCTTTGTTCAAACTTCGTCGTGGCATGAGAGGTAGTGAGACACGTAAACTTCTTTACAGAGGAATGAATCGCCATGTTTCTCATGTGCAATGAAGGTTCGTCTGTGCCTTCGTTATCTGAATTTTCCCAAGTTGCCTTTAGTGACTTACTCTTCTTTTTTAGATTAGCACACTCGTACTGAAAATGCCCAAATTCACGACACTCACGGCATTGGTCCTTCTCGATCCGTTGTATGTCCAGTTTTGAAGGAAACACACTATTCTTCTTATTCTGAGCTGTGTTCTTGCTGGGATTATTGAACTTCTTTCCAGCGAACTTGTTTTTATATAGTTTCTGACTCATCTTGTCGTAGTTCCTTGCAATTAATGCAAGAGCCTCCTTCAACTCGCTGTCATCCACCATTGAACATTCATCTGCATCGTTGTCTTCTTTCTCTTCGACTACGGCAGCTTTGAGAGCAAGTCCCTTGTTTTTGACTTTGTCATAACTGTTGTTGATTTCGAACATTCTCAGATCACCAAGAAGTTCATCCACATCTAGAGGCGCAATTCTTTGAAAGCTCTCAAGAGCCGTAATCTTCTCTCCAAATCTAGGCGAAACAATCCGCATAATCTTTTGCACTTGACGATTTTCAGATATCTCTTCTCCAAGCATTCCACATTGATTTACCAGATCACAAAATCTGGCATAGTAAATATCGATCGTTTCTTCATCCTTCATTCTGATTTCATCAAATTCAAGGGTTACACGTTGAAGTCTAGACGCTTTGATTGTCGTTGAACCTTCAAAGTGATGTTGTAGGAGCCGCCAAGCATATTTCGCTGTCTTGCATTGAACTATCATCTTGTGTCTAGTCTGATCGACTGCCATCATGATCGCGTACAGGGATCAATAGTTCGCTTCTTCTTGCAGTTTTTCAGCGTCAGTCCAGGTGTCTTTTGATTTAGGTACAGTGGCCGATGAAGATTCTTTCCCTTGGTCTGGAGCGGCCTCCATGACTGGATGTTCCCAGCCATTTTCAACACTTTCCCAAGCACCTTTTCCCAGAGATCTTAGAAGATCGTCATCATTGATTTTCAGTTGGAATAATTTGATCCATCCAATTGCGGAGGCCTAGACATCGATCCACTTTCCTGATTCATGATTGCCCAATCCACACGTCCTTAGATATTTCAAAAAGTATACGAAATTAAAAGTTGATACTTGTAACCCAAGTATTCAGAGTTATGCACAATTAAGCTAAATAGAATTCAATGTAGATTCATACAAATTGCGGAAGCAGTATAAACAAACTTGAACCTTCAGGAGAGCATCCCACTCTCCCTTCGGATCTTTTTCATTAATGCAATCAACTCACACATTATTCAAGGGTTTACAGTATAGACTCCCTCTACACTCTACTTGAATAACGAATTGCACTACTACTTATCTGACCACAAATCCCTTGTGGTTTTTCACGTTTGAATCCCTCAAATTGAATTAGAATGAACCTTCGTTCAATCTGTACTTTTCTCTTTACAATTACTAATCTCATATACACAAATCACTCAACAAAAAAAAAAAGAACCTGAAACCCTAAAAATTATCTCAACAAATTAATCTGTGTGAAAAAGTGTCCACCTCGATCCCATCTCGTCGTCCTTTTATCCTTTTCTTCATATGGTAAGTTCTTCATGAAACTTTGCTGCCAAGTCATGTCCTCTTTTGGAAATTCCAGGTTGTGCGATCGAGTCTCCACACGTGGAAGGTAGTCGTAGATGGAATGTGATTTACTGCCAATCTTCCGAAGTTACACCTATGGACCAATTAGTCGTCGTGTTTACCGATGATGTCATTGTCTATTCTGAAAATACCGTGGAGCATCTGAAGATGACACTGGAAACACTTAGACGAGAGAAGTTTTATGCTAAGATCTTGAAGTGTGAAATATTAGGCAGTGGAGGTGGTTTGAGCTCGTTTAGGACTGCTGGTGTGATTAGCTACATAGAAGAGCTAACGTGGTGGCCGACGCTCTTAGTCGGAAGGGTCGAGATGAGCGACTCGTTTGAGTACTCAACAGGAGTTGCTGATTTGGGAGCATCTATAGCTAGTGGTGTTAGTATCACTAGTCGTGGGTTGACTCTACAAGGGAGGGTTGTACCAAGTAGCTGCAACGGACGATCAAGACACTTGAGGACCTGTTGAGGTCTTGTGTTTTGGATCGAGACGACGTGTGGGAAGACGCATTACTATTAAAGAGTTCGCCTATAACAGTATTCATCGGGTGACGTTTCAGTTGGTGACGTACAAGGCTTTGTATGGGTGCAGTTGTAAATCGTCATTCTTTGTGGGATGAGGTCCGAGCGAAGATCATTGCTACCTAAGACAGGCAGGAGACCTACGCCGAGCAGTATAAGAAAGATATGCAGTTCGAGGTAGGCGTTAAGGTTTTCTGAATATCTCACCGGAGAGAGGTATGATCCAATTCAGGAAGAGAGGGAAGTTGCAGCCGCACTGTTGATCCCTTTGAGATTTTAGACTAACTCGATGACCTAGCCTAATTGTTGGCCCGACCACTGTAGCTCTCGAGTGTGCACATTATGCTGCATTGTTGTGCCTATGAGACGGTTGCACTGTGCTAAGTCGCGTCTGAGATGGTTGCATGATCTGCACTGAGATTAATTGCGCCTATGAGATGGTGGCATTGAGATGAGTTGCGCCCATTAGATGGCTGCATGACCAGATTTTTGTGTTGCATTTCTCAATGTGAGCAGATATATGTGCACGACCCCAGGCACGTGGTGAACTTCGACGAGTTTCATGTTGGGGATAACCCTACCTAAAAGAAGGTATCGGTAATTGTTTTGGACCAGAGAATCCACCATCTGAGAAACCGGCAGGTGACACTCCTCAAGTCTAGTAGAGCCGCCATGGCGAGGGTGATGCAACTTGGGAGAGCGAGGACGAGATTCGGACGGCATATCTGAACTGTGTGATTGAGTTGTCCTTTGTATCTTTGTTTTTATTTCCGAGGACGGAAATCTTTTAAGGAGGGTAGATTGTAGTGCCCCGTTCGATTATTAGGAGTCAGTTGATTATTATATGCCTGTGTGAATTTATTTTGGTTTGTGCATTATTTTGATTGTTCAATTAACTCGGCTAAACTTGTAATTTCAGCAATATTAATTAGATGTCCTCGTCTAATTAATCATTTGAGTTAAATAATTTTCTTAGATGTCTTGCTATACGTGAATTATTTTGAATTTTTATTATTTTTGATTGTTGCGATAAATCGAGTTCAAATGCGATCTTATCGTAAGCTGTTTTACCTTGATCATTAAGACTTATAATTTTGACCCTTATATTTCTTAAAATTGGACCTCCAAGACAATTATATCTCGGCCTTTTTATTGTGAGAGGTCCGGCCCTATTAGCTCCTCAAACCTTCCCTTTGTTTATTAAAGCGGCCCAAGTGTAGTGAAATTTTTTACCCTTGGACTTGTGTAGCTTTGGCTCCAAGTTTTGTTTCAAATTCAAACTCAAGAGTGCCTAAATTTAGTATGGATTTTTCATACATTCATGACCTCATTTGAACTATTTTATTGATATTAATGTGTCAATTATGTCATTCAAAAAATGGTATGAAAAATCAATTTACTTCCCTTCATTTCTCCCTTAAGAAATCATAACTTTTTTACTTGGCACCTTACGTTTCCAACCTAAAGAAAATCAGATCTGGAATACTTCAATAGCCGAGTGGATCAGAAAACCCCTCAACCTTTTGGCTTCTTTCTGTCGCAAGTTCTAACGTCAGCGTACCGCAAGCCCACAGCCGCCGCGGACAGCCCCAGACCTATAGCTGAGTGCGCAGCAGTGAGAAGACGACCCACCCGCAGCAGATCATTGCGAGCACTGAGCTTCACGTGAGTCGCGAGCACAACAGACCCATAGTCGTCGCACGCCACTGCAAGCAGTCGCTAACGTACGCCTCATAGCATGCCTTAAGCCGCCGGGAATCGCCGTCGATGTCTGCAGCAACCGAACACGTTCCGCCATCGCTCTCTAGAGAGAGAGAGAGACCTAGAAACCGAAGGCATCACTGGAGGCCAACTCGAGTTTCTGTTAGACGACTAGCCGCGTGAGGATTAAATGATGTGAGTGAATGAATAATGAGATAAAGTTGGCGTGAGGATGATGATTGATATTATTTAATTTTATTTATTATGTTGATGTTGACGATAATTGAGTTGGATTAAATTTTTAAATTTGTATCCCTAGTAAATCTATGTGAAGCTACTTGCACTAAGAGCATCTTTAATAGGCAGGTTTTGGAAGGTTTACAAATTAAACCTCAAATGTTTGTTATTAAATCCAATAGGTTTTAGGTTTGAAAATTTTGAACCCGTATTGTGTTTCCTAACCTTTTGCAAGCCTATAACATAAAAAGAGAAGCAAAATAAATAGAGGAAAAGTAGTGTGCGTATGCAATAACTTCCTATATATATATTGAAAGAGGTTGATAGAATAATCTAAAATAGTAACTTTGACTTTGTAATTAAGTAGGTTGACTTATATTAGAGGAAACATAGTAAAACTAAATTAATATTTATAAAATATTAAAAATTAAATTACACTTACCTGTTGCAAAACGTGCAATCCTATTAATATAAAGACTTCTATAAACATAAAGTGGTATCAATTCTGAAAATTATTTAGTGATAATTATCGCAGTAAAATCGATTCTTCATATTAATATGAATCACTGCAATTTCTTATTCTTTTGTTAACCAACCATACAACATGTCTTTCAAAAAACGCCTATTAATTAAATTTTATTTTTAGAAAATATTATTTGAATATGCACGATAAAATTACAAATATAATCACAAAATAAAGAGTGATCAACTACGGAAATCTTATTATGATATATGTCACAATTTACAATTGAATCTTATTTATCAACATTAATAACAAATCACGGTGATTTTGTATTCATTTGGTAACCAACCATATACCAAAATATTTTTTATCATATCTTCAAAAAATTCTTTAATCGAGAGGTTACTTTGTAGTTCTTTAATTTATCAATAACTTAACCATTGCAGTTTTTTCAAAAATTATAAACACAATTTTTCAGAATATCAAAAGAATTTTGACTATTTACTTTAATAACAAACAATCTTTATCCTTAATAACAAATCGTGTATTCTTCTGTTTGGTTGGGTGGATAGCCATATGTAGACCGAAATATGCAGTGAGAACATTGCAAAATATAAGTACAAAAGCGAACAAGCCCCAGCGAGGTTTCAACAGGTCGTCTTCCACGGCAAGCAGGTCGCAGCAATTCTTTTCGCGTCCGAACAGTGAGGTCGAGTCTTTCTCAGCAAAAGCGAACAAGCCGCAGCGAGGCAAGGCCACCTGCGGGTACACCGAGTCGCCTAAGCCGAGACCATTCGCGTTTAAGCCTTTCGAACTCTTTAATCGGATCTCCCTTGCTTCTAGATTCCAGAAGCAAGGTGAATTTTCAAATCCTTCTTTGTGTTATTCGTGTAGATTTAATTTTTGTGCTATGTGAAAGTCTTAGATCTGTTAGTTTGGGATTATTATTATTATTATTATTTTGTGTGAATAATTTGGAAAAATTATTATGGACTTGGAACATTGGACCCTTACACTGGGAGCCAGCCCAGGTGAAGCCACGCGAGTGGTGGCAGAGCACACACGCCCGTGATGAGAGACGTGAGATCTCGCGTGCAGCTTACTGTGACCAGACGACGTTGTGGTGAGGGAACCGCGCACCGGTATGAGGAGTAACCGGTGCACTAAGATTGTTGGTTGCCTTCGGGTCGCTGACAGACAACGCACACGACGCCACGTACTACGCAGCAGGCCCCTTCGCTAGCGCTGTTGAGGGGCTGTTGAGGGTCAGAAGTTGTCGTGGTCAACCCGTAGACTCGCGCGAGAGCAGCAGCCGCCATCACTGAACGTGCGAGCTCCCTAGGCCAGTGAGTGCGGCCATACCTCGACTCTACATCGAGTCTCCGAGCAAGTGTGTGCGAGCGCGTTCCAACGCCACGTGTACGTAGCGCCAGCGAGCATGCCGTCTCTCGGGTGACACCTCAGCGCAACCTCACAGCCCCGTGACCTATACCAGCCGCGCAGCCTGTGAGCCTAATCTAAATCGTTGAGCCACTTTTGAACTATGTGAACCATTTTGGTGTCGAACCTTATTTTAGTCTCGAGAACCTTTTTTCGAGCCTTTTTCTAAGAGTTCCGAGTTCCACTAAATTTTAAGAATGTACTTATCAATAAAGTTATTGATTAAGTTAATTTCTCAGTGTAAGGTCAAGTTATTTGTAAGAGTATCCTTGCCTTAAATTGTATATTTTGAGGAGTCGAGCCTCGAGCGACTTGTGCAGTACCTACAATTTCAGCATCATCCGACTGAGCTGGGTGTTGCTAAACTATATGCTTTTATTCTTTATAATCGCATGGTTCATAATCGAAATATGTATATAATATTGTGTGTATGTGATGAACTTGGTTATGTGAATTTGACTATGTGAAATGGACGGTGTGAAAGGTGTTGTGTGATATGAATATGACTGTGTGACACATGACAATGTGGTGCGATGACAGTATGGCGCAATGACTATGTGGCGCTATGACTGAGGAATGCAATGCATTGGCTATGTGATGCATTGACTGTGTGGCACCTCCGGTGTGACTAAGAGGTCAATGCCATGGCTATGTGAGGCATTGACTGTGTTGCACCTCCAGTTTGAACTCCTTTCGTGGAGCGCCTGTGGTTATGTGAAGGCGAGCCGACGGTAAAAAGTGTATGCATGAGAAATAAGATTGAGAAGTTGAGAATAAGAGATGATTATGATCTATGTGATCGAGTTTCTATGTGAGTTATTACATATAAAATTTCTGTCACCAGTTATTATGATGAATATATTGCATAGTTCCCATGGTGAGCTTGTGTTTGCTCACCACCATACATTAACATTTTCAGGTTAAGTAACAGGAGACAAACACAAGTAGACGAGGGGGGTCGATGTTGTATTTTAGAAACTATTTTGCTTTTGCTGTAAGTTATTCGATTTTGTGTATTTTTAAGTTTACTATCAAAATCTTTGGATGGTGAAAAGTGTTTCAACTGGGTGTTAAATACTTTGAGAAGAAAGTTTATTCCGACACAGATTTAGTAAGAAAGAAAATTTTGAGTAACGTCCAAGAGCGTTTAAATTGAAAATATTTTTGAAAAAAAAAAATTAACTCGAATTTTGGAAACCGAGTATTTTCTCTTAAAACTTAATAGGGCGTTAAAATGTGGTATCATAGAAAGTCTATGGTTCTCTAGACTTGCAAATTTTCAAGTTAGAAATTTTATTTTTTGAAATTTTCTAAAAAGTCTTGAGTTTGACCACTTGCCTCCGTCGTGCCACGCCAACTCTGGCGTAAGTCATGTGTAGGGGTGAGATGGTGCGGTTCCGTGCAAAACCGCACCGAACCGCAAAAAATCAAAAACCAAAATTTTTTATTTACCCAAACCGAACCGCACCGAAATACGTAGGAAAACCGAACCGAAACCACACCGAAATTTTCGGTTCGGTGCGGTGCGGTTTCTGTTAACCGAAAAAAAAGAAAAAACCCAAACTAAAATGAAGCTACATCATCATCATCTAATGTGCAACATTACCAAACCAAGCCCAAGATTTGAACTGAAAGTGAAAAACTAAGGCAAGAAACTAGATTTTAATGTAATGTTATTAATTTTTAATTGTTATTGTTATTATTTATTACTTTACTTATTTATTGTTAATGTTAGTCATCCCAAACCAAAGGCCCAAAAGTAGCATGTATATGTACAATACAAACATGTTAACATATTTCTTATTTGTAAAAATATATTAAAAAAAAAACCATATTCGGTGCGGTTCGGTTAAAACCACATCATTCGGATAAAAAATCGAACTGCACCGAAATTTATGCAGTTTTTCAAAATTTTAACCGCACTGAAAACCGAACCCTTAAAAAACCGAACCGAACTGCACCAAATACATCGGTTCTTTGGGTTCGGTTTTTCGGTTTCGGCTCGATTTTGCTCACCCCTAGTCATGTGGTGTAGTTTGACTTGTTGTGTGAATACATGTATGACTTTGTTAAATTACATGTAAGAGACAATGTGACATCATGAATCTATGTGACATTGTGGGAATAATCTTGCTTCTGTGTGAATAAACATGATTTTGGGAGGACTTTGTGCATAGCATGTAAGAATCTATGTGAACAAATGACTATATGCGAAAACAGGTATGAGGCTATGTGACTACATGTAAGACTCTGTGTGATTTCATGGCTTTGTGGACACCATGATTCAAAGGACTTGAAGTCTAGATAGTTGGGAGTTTTTGAACTCTAGTTGAAGTTCGAGTTTTGAACTTAAATCAAGTTGAGTTAAGTTTTGACTATAGATGTTACCTCGGTTTAGTTGAAGGTGCCTGTGAACAAGTATATGTAGTAACGGTTTTCCAGTGTATAAGAGCCACAAGTCTGTGTAGACCATGAAGGCTTGAAGTTGGACCGTGACTAACATATTCGAGGTGACTTCTACTGTTCAGTCAAGAGTTAGTGTTTTAAGAGATGAAGCAAGGTTCGTATCGTGAGTTATATCGAAAGGGAAGAAAATATTAAGGAAGAGAAATCGCCTAGGGTTCTTGGTGAATGTTTTCTAGATGCTCTATGAAGCAGAAGACAACTGAATAAGTCTAAAGTGTGCGGAAATATCCATATGTCTGGAGCAGTTGACGAAAGGTCCAGCGGAAGCGTGGTGAGACCCAAAAATCTTCTTGGAAAAAGGAGCAGAGGCAAGTGTCTCGAGCACTTTACTATTCGGCACCAAAGAAGTTTCGAAAAATCAAAAGCATTAATACTATCGCGATTCTCGAAGGTAGCTGAGCCTCAGGAAAAGAGATGGTTGTCGATTGTGAAAGATATGAACGTTAGGATCGAAGGGTAGGACTTGAAGACCATCACGTGCATGATCGATATGAAAAACTTTGACGTATTCCTCAGTATGGATTTGATGAGCAAGTACCCGGCAGACGTTCAATGCCATGATCGTGAAGTGACACTTTAACTGAAAGAAGATGAGAAGACAACTTTCTATGAAGCAGAGATGAAGACAAGCTAAGGCTGAAATTCCATGGAAAAGGGCTATGAAGAGACAGCAAAATAAGGGTAGCCGAGGGTTTTTGGAGATCGAAGTCGGGAATGAGACGAGGAAAACATCGCCTGAGGACGTATCGTTTGTGAGTACTTAAGAGTCTTTCCGGAGGAGCTGCCAGGAGAACCACCACACAGGTGAGACAAGTTCATAATTCGACTTGACAACGGGAGCACCAGTTGTTTCCGTGGAGGAGAAGGATGGGCCAATGACGATGTGCATTGACTACTGTGGGCTCAATAGACTGATGGTGAAGAATAAGTAAATGCTGTCTAGGATTGGAGATTTGCTCGATCAACTGAATGGAGTCAGCTTGTTCTCAAAGATCGATTGGAGATTTGGCTACCACCAATTGAAGGTGAAGGAGTCCGACGTGTCTAAGACGGTATGTAGGACCTGGATTGGGCATTACGAGTTTGTAGTAATGCCTTGGGTTATGCTACGCGCCGGCAATACCTATTGAAATTTGATACTTGTAACCCAAGTATATTCAGAGTTATGCACAATTAAGCTAAATAGAATTCAATGTAGATTCATACAAATTGCGGAAGCAGTATAAACAAACTTGAACCTTCAGGAGAGCGTCCACTCTCCCTTCGGATCTCTTTCATTAATGCAATTAACTCACACATTCTTCAACGGTTTAAAGAATAGAATCGCTCTACACTCTACTTGAATAACGAATTGCACTACTACTTATCTGACCACAAATCCCTTGTGGTTTTTCACGTTTGAATCCCTCAAACTGAAAGAGAATGAACCTCCGTTCGATCTGTACTTTTCTCTTTACAATTACTAATCTAACATACACAAATCACTCAACAAAACAAAAACCCGAAACCCTAAAAATTATCTCAACAAATTAATCTGTGTGAAAAAGTGTTCGCCTCGATCCCATCTCGTCGTCCTTTTATCCTCATCTTCATATGGTAAGTTCTTCATGAAACTTTGCTGCCAAGTCATGTCATCTTTTGGCAAGTCCAGGTTGTGCAATCGAATCTCCACACATGGAAGGTAGTCGTAGATGGAATGTGATGCACACGCCCTTTTTATTAGACCTGCCATAATAAAACATGTATAGGTATAAACCAATAAACGAAGTAATCAAAACTAATCCAAGTAATCTAAGAGAGACTTCCCTTAATTATCTTTGTGATGTCTGAACCTGATATCGGATGAAGCTTCATCGATTTACTGCCAATCTTCCGAACTTATAATCTCCCCCTCTGGCAGATAAATAGAAAACCTTTCTCAAGAACCTGCACAACAAAAGTCTTGCAAACATACAAAATTTATTCTAAGAGAATATGCAAAAGAGTGGTTGCTCATTTGAACAACTTAAGATCCTGAAAAATCAAAAACATTAGAATGAAGTTCATAATAACATTCCTAAATAGTCATCAAAGGAAATAAAAATAGTTCGTGACATCACAAAACAGTTATTAAGTTTTAGCAAAACACAACACAAGGCAAAAGGACATCCACAGGTCTAAGTGGATCCATTTTCATCCTCAGTCTCCTCATCATCAGAACCACCTTCTTCTGATCCGGCTTCAGTGTTTTCCTCTGAAGCAGTTTTCTCTTCCTCATCCTTAGCATCAGAGTCCACTTCATCTTCCTCAGCAGCATCTGAATCTTCTTCGGACTCCAGTTCCTTCTCCTTTTCCTTGGCAGAGACAACTTTTTCTTTTCCCTTGGCCGTGGCAGCATCCTTGTTTTTCTCCCCCTTACTACCAGCATGCACCTTCTTTGTCTCCCCCTTACCTGCAGCCGCCTTCTTCTTGTTCTCCCCCTTTTTCGATTTAACCATCAAAGGGGCTCGCGATTTCATCGCCCCCAGAACCTCCTTGTAACACCTATTTTGATCAGCAAGTTTCTTCTCTAGCCCAGAGAGAACCGCGACCTGTTAATTCAGAAAGCCACGCAGCTGGGAAGGCACATCTGAAGCTTTAACCAGGGAAGGGCGAGGAGGAGCAAATTTGACACCAACAAAGGCAAGAGACCTCAAGACAGGAGAGAAGTTATCACCAACACATGGGTCCATTTTCACGCCGACTTTGAATAGAATAGCACAAATAGTAGAAGGGAAGAGCAGCAGCTTGTGTGGTTTGGAAATTCCAGCAAAGGATACCACAATGTCAAAGATAATAGGTCGAAGGGAACATCGCTGACAATACGATAGATGACACGGGCCTGAGTAGGAGTAACAAGTTGGTTGTGCGTAGTGGGTGTCCAATTACATGCACCTATTTTCTGTAATGAATTCGCATGAGGAGTGAGGCACTTCACAAATAGCCCAGGAGCAAGCCAGTTGCTCAACTTCCCACCAGTCATTGTACTAGCAACCTCATCCAGATCATCAGTCGGAGGGGACAGAGAAGAACCTTCAGCCAATCCAAGCACTGAGTTTATAACAGACGGCGAGAACATAACAATGCAGTTTTTTACAAACACCCTTTGAAACTTCGATGAGGTAGGGTCAGAAACAGAGATAGAAAGATTTGAATAAAATTCACCAACAAGTTACGGACAGTACTTTCCAACATTAGTAACAGAACTCTTAAGCTCAACCTTTTTCAAAAGTTCAAGTAAACTAAGTTGTTCGAAATGCTCACCAAAAATTGTCCGTTCAAGGCAAAATTTCATTTAAGAGAATATATCGGAAAAGCGAGTCTCAGACAGAGGGGAATAAAATTGACGGGAAAAGGCATTACCAATAGCAAGAGGACTATCAGGGCCATCATCTTCGGCATCTTCATCAGCTTTCTCATCCACAAGAGGAGAAGGTTCCTTGTCAGCAGCAATAGGGTTAACGGATTTCTCTGGTTCAGTGGTGAATTTATCGATTTCCTTTTCCGTAGAGTCACCATCACCAACAGCATCAGGTGATGACTCTCCACCAGACTTGGAAGCAGAGTCCACAGCAGTTGTAGGTTCAGGCACGGTGATGGTCTTCTTTGTCTTTTTTGGTTTTCCGGCAGTAACCGCTGGGACCTTCTCTTTTTTGGGGACTTAGCGATAGAGGGTGAGCCTTTTCCACCTTTTTCACTACTACCCGCAATGTCGGGAGTAGCCACTTTTGCCATGGAGCACTTTTTAGGGCTTGGGGAAACCCTAGTTTCGACGTTCTGAGAAGGTTGAACTTGTTCGGTTGCCATGTTGGGAGGAGTTAGGTTTGGTGGAGTTTCAGTGCTGCCGCTTTGCCGAGTAGAACGCCGCGAAGGTTTTGGAACATCCTTCTTCGGCTTCACATTTCCTGTTTTGCTTTTCAGCATAGTTTCAAATAGGAGAGGTATTTGACACAGATATGGAAGGTTAGAAAATTTGGAGAGATGTGAATATCAGATGATTGATATGAGAGAGAGGAGAGATGATATGATAGGTATTGGGAAACCAAATCGCAGTTACTGAGGAAAGAAGAGATAAGTTAGACGGTTCAGCTTTTCAATTTTGAATTTCAAACTTATGCACCAATTAATACCAAAAACCGTTCCCTCCAAATTTAAATTAACCAACATTTTGACACGGCTTACCATATATAAGTGTAATGAAGTTTCATACATAAATATGGTCAGATTTAGTACCAATAATAATTTTGATACAAATTCGAAACACAATCAGTCACAAGGAAAATTTTATGCACATGCCTAAATATTTTAATGATCAAGCAATAACCAAGATACTTCCAATCATACAAAGTCGAAAAATTTTTTCATTAATTTTTCTAAAGATCTTCCCCAATCAATTTTTTAAAAGAGCTCGACACTAACAAGATGATAAGAATTTTTATGAAACCAACTCAGCCCTTACATCTCTACTTTTATACACCACGGAATTAAAATAAGTTTATTCATCATTTTCTCTTAGCAAAGAACGATATTTTGATTCGAAATTCAGCCCCAATACTAATGATGAACTTACTTCGTTCTATGAACTTCCACACCATTTCACTTACTAACATGAACTATACGCCAATGTCAAGCCCATTACTTAAAGTGTGAATGTCAAGCCCATTACTTAAAGTGTGAATCATCCCGCAAAAAGTTTCTTTTGAATATGCTGAGAGGGCTTTGAAAGATGACCAACCTTATTTCACCAATGAACCTGCATCCGCAAGGGATGACTACTTGCAGCTATCACCCCTCGATTATTTCTAAGCACGTAACTCGTTTCATAGGCGAACATGGAAACACCTCATGTGATAGTTGCCCGATGCCTACTTTCACTAGAGCAGCTCTTACAAGTATTTTTTAAAAGATCATTGTGACGAACTCAACCAAACTGACCAGTTGGAATCCATAGAACATCAATTTATTCATCCAACGACAAATTATTCAAGGAAAAATCTTGGGATGAACCTACATACTATTATGCCTAAATGCAAGATGACTCTAATACGCGACACACTATATATACATATAAATGCAAAAGACACAACATGCATACATATTATATAGCACACATTCTTAAGGATTTCCTTAGTGACAAAAAGCGTTTTGAATCAAGTGCTTTTGTGAAAATATCAGCAAGCTGATCATCTGTAGGTACATGATCCAACACAATAGTTCGATCCTCCACCAAATTACGAATAAAGTGATAGCGAATGTCAATATGCTTGGTACGAGAATGTTGGACGGGATTTTTCGAGATATTTATTGCACTAGTGTTGTCACAGAAAAGCTGAGCCGAATGTACCTTCATACCATATTCAGATAGGATTTACTTCATCCAGACTAATTGAGAGCAACAACTCCCCGCTTCAATGTACTTAGCTTCAGCTGTATATAGAGAGATGCAGTTTTGTTTCTTGTGAAACCATGAGACCATGTTTGACCCTATATAGAAACAACCACCGGAAGTACTTTTCCTATCATCTAGATTTTTGGCCCAGTCTGCATCGCCGTAACCTGCAAGATGTAGGTTCGTATCAGCAGAATAAAATAACCCATAGTCAGATGTACCTCCAACATATTTGATAATGTGCTTGACTGCCTTCAAATGAGATTCTTTGGGAGCTGCCTGGTACCTGGCAAAAATCCCAACACTAAACAAATGTTAGGACTGCTGGCAGTAAGATATAAAAGACTACCAATCATACTACAGTAAAGAGTTTGATCTACAAATGTACCTTCATCATACTTAGACACTTTTATGTGAGTGCCCGTAGGAGTCTGACGAGATTTGGCATTTTCAAGGCCAAACTTTTTAACAAGGTTTCTAGCATATTTACTTTGATGCAAAAAGATACCATCTTTACCTTGCTTCACTTGAAGACCCAAAAAATAAGAAAGTTCACCTACAGACTCATCTCAAATTCAGAAGACATAAGCTCAACAAAGTGATTGACCAGTTTCTTCGAGGTTGACCAAAAGGTGATGTCATCTACATATATTTGAACCACCAGCATGTCTGTATTGGTCCTTAGTGCAAAGAATGTCTGATCGACTCCCTCTCGTTTGAACCCCTTCTCCAGAAGGTACATCGTAAGTCTTTCATACCAAGCACGAGGTGCTTGTTTCAGACCATACAGTGCCTTCTAGAGTCTGTAGACATAATTAGGGTTACTATGGTCTTTGAACCCTTCTGGCTGCTTCACATAAGCTTCCTCGTGTAATATTCCATTCAGAAATACCGACTTTACATCCATATGGTAA